TATAAAAACAATTAAATTCTTTAATATATCTCAAATAAATATTTAGTGAACCTTTAAAATTTTTCAATAAATTTTTAATAAAAAAATTAAATCTCATTTTGATCTCTGGTACAAAACTTTCAATTTAATTTTTCAATTAAAAGAAACTCTAATTGAATTTTGTTATTTATCATTTTAACCCTAATTTCACCCTTTCAGTAATTTTTTTCACCAATAATTGATAGAAGATTCAATACATATTTAAAATTTTCACACAAAAATTAACAAGTTTGCAAATATTTAAAATTTGCATACAAAAATTAACAAGTTTGCAAAAAAATAAATCACATGGCATTTCAACTCATCCCATTGAAAAAATTTTCGTTTTTTTATTTTTTTTCATTCCTCCCTTTCCCTTTCCTCTTCCCTTTCTTCAACTTCTGCAAACCCTAAAATCTCAACTAATCTCTAACATCTCAGCCAATCTCTACACTTATTGGGTTCTTCATCATCATCAAGCAACAAAACTCACAAAAAATAAAAATGAAAGAAACTTTTTTAATTTCTTGCCACTGGTTCAAATGTGCTGGGTTCCAACGAACCCAGGCGTGGGTTCCTTCGAACCCAACGCTTGGGTTCCTTGGAACCCCTGCGCCTGGGCTCCATCAAACCCAGGCTTACTGGGTTTGAAGGAACCCAGCGTTTGGGTTCCAACGAACCCAAGCGTACTGGGTTTTAAGGAACCCCATGCCTGGGTTCTAAGGGACCCCGCGCCTGGGTTCCTTAGGAAGCCCCACACCTACCTCCTTCTGTTTCAACTCTATCTCCTTTTCTTTGACCCAGGAAAAATACATGATGGCACTGTTTCTCTCTTTTTCCAGAGATTTAAGTTTCTCAAACCTTGCATGAAAATCTGTTTCAGATTCCTCCTGTAGTTTCTCTTTTACCTTCTTTTTCACAGCTTTTCAATCTATAGGCTAGACCTCACATTCTTCAGAGACCCCAATAGCTATTGGGTGAGAGAAAGGGAAGGAAGAAAAAAATAAGAAACAATTTTTTTTATCGTATTATTATTTTTTATAATTTGATAAGAAGTATTGAAATTTTAATTTTTAAAATATTTTATAAAAAATATTAAAATTTTAATTGTCAAGACGTTTTTATTTTTTATAATTTTAATTTTTAAATCTCTTTTTTAAAAAATTTTAAATTTATATTAAGACTTTTTTTTTTTCATCTGACCTTTTTTGTTTCAAATTCTAAGTCAACAAATAAGTCCCACAAATTAAAATTATTAACAGTACAACTCCAGCACACAAAAAGTCCAAGTTGGACTTGTCAATATGTTAAAAATGTCTAAATTGATGCTGACATGTGAATGCATGACGGAGACTAATGATGTATTGTTGCACGTGACTTTCTAACGTTAAATGTTACTTCATTTCCCTGAACTCGAAAATATAAAGGGTAAAAATTCATATATTGTAATATGAGAGGTAAAATACCTTAAACTAAAAAAGTTGAAGGGCAATCGGAGGGTTTTTGCCAGCGTTCTTATGCCTGAAAGGCAGCAATTTTAAACGCTATTACAAATTGTTCCAGCATTTGTAAAAAAATCACTGTCGAAACGCCGCCTTTAGAGTAGTAGCCATTTGTACCTCTCGGCGTTTTTGGAAATGCAAGTATAAGATACCCAAAGGCAGCGATTTTATAAATGCCAAGATGGATGATTAAAAATGCTGCCTTTGGATCCCCTCAAAATGCCAAACAAATGCCAAACAAATGCAGACAAACCCAGCAATTTTAAGCTCTGTATTTGGTAGCGGTTTTAAGCGCTAGTTTATCTACTTGGTATTTATTATTATTATTATTATTATTATTATTTATCCAAAAAAATGCTAGTAAAAAGAAAAAAGATATTAAGACATTCAAATAAACATTAAAGATAAACAAATATTCATTAATCTCATATCAGCCAAGTATCTCATTCAAAATTGCATTCTAAATACATTTATTAATCTCCCTACATTCTACCTGCAAAGTAAAAAAGTTCACATTCAAAATAAAGAGTCATTCCTAAGGAAAAATTAAATCTCTTAATTTCCCATGCCCGTCCATTTAGCCATAACTGAAGTGGAAGGAACTCAGAGTTGCCCCTAAACAAAACAAATAAAGAAACTGAGTCAGTGTCAAACTCTTCAAAGATAAATCGTGTACAGTGCTCAAACTTGAACAGAGTTCTCTAAGATGAGATACCTGTATTTGTGATAACAAGAGGTCCATCACTTGGCCATATTTGGAGTATTGGATACTTTCAAAACAGCAATCCTGTATTAGCAGTCTCTTAATCAATATAATTAGCAAAAATTGCAAACTGTCCTGTGCTTCTCAAGTATGTTTTTAACCTGGCATAAAGAAGAGGCCAAGAAGCTACCTTTTTCAGTAAATTATTTGCAGAATTCAAATTTTTTTAATATAATGACCACTTAACAAAGTATTTTCTCTCTACTTAATAGTAGAAATAACCAGTTGTCACTATTTGATTGACTGTGCTCATCCCACAAACTATATTTTCATTGTATACTAACCGTGACAGATCATCTATCTTGAGAAGAAGACAAATCAGGTCTGTACATACCTGAGAGAAGATGAAACAGGGTCTAAGAATGTAGTATTATGCAAAGAATAACAGAAAAACCAATAAAAGTCAAAAGGAACACGAATCTTTTCCAGTTGGTGTGCTATGGAAATGTCCCCATCTCTCCTATGGATCCAACTCATGATCAAATTTAGTTGAACATTAATTGAAGTACTTAACTGTTAATTGAAGGGCACAGAAAATAATCACTCCTTTACCTTTAACAAAGATAAAAGGGATTATCTGCCTTGCAAAAGTTCAATCTCAGGGCATCGGGTCAATACACTCACTGATTTCAAATTTCTCAGTATAGTAGAAACCACTCTTCCATTTTAGCTTGCTAATCAATTATTCTTCAAAGCTAAAGAAAAAATATATTCCAAAACTAGTTAGATCTAAAAATAGAACTATGCCTAATCAAAAATGAAGATTACTCCTATATTTAATTATTATACTACTAGTTCAATGATGTTACAATGTTGGGAAACCCTTTAGAAAATGAGTCTCGATGGAAATAAATTTTGGACAATGAAAAAGTTAAAGCTGATCTTTTAAAAAAAAAAATGAATTTCTCCAAAAACACACCGTTGGGCTTGAAATCAAAGTTGTCAGTATTGTTGTGTAAGAAATTTTGCTAATTTAAGTAGTCCTACTTTTTTTTCATTAAAGTAAAAGATTAGCTTAACATAGGAACCACAGAATCATTACGCTTTGGCTTTGCATTCCGTCTCTGGGAAGACAAATTCGCTGTCACCTGGTGATTTAGTACACGAAATGAATCGATTCGTGTCGCTGAAAACCTGAAATTGGAGAAACTTCCTAGAAAGGATCGATTCAAAGTAGAAATGAAAGATCGAGAAACCAAAG